AACCATTGTCCCTTGGAGAACAGGCTAATCCTTTCTATTCAGGGTCTATGAGATTTTGGTTTCACAGGGAAGACTTTTTAAGGAGGTGATATTTTAGTTGAAGTTTCAGTAAAGTTAGACTGTTCATCATGCAGAACGCATTTATATCTGAGGCCTGAGATAGCTCAAGAGAGTGGTGGAGCAGGAAAAGTGGACAGAGAGTTGGACAGGACCTGGAGCATTTGGAATATTTAGGGGTTTCATGGTATGACTTAAACATCATATATATCTTAATTTTCAAGTCATTTTCTCTTACAGATACAGATGACACTAGTTTGTTGGGAAAGAAAGATGATGGACTACAGTATCGACCAGATGTGAAAGGTACTGAATCACAATTTCCTAAATTTTGGCCAACTGTTGAAATATGGTTTCTCACTGTCCTTAGTAGTTCTATTTCCATTATAATGGCCTTTCCAGCTTTGCTCTGTAGCAATATACATTATGCAATTGAATTTTAGTAATAATACTGACTGAAATAGTTAAGGTGCTTCTCAGTTTGCAGAGTACTGTCATGTCTGTGTTTTTTTAATTGAAATTTTTATTGTGAGAATTGTAGATTCACATGCATTTGTAAGAAACTATGTAGAAAGATCTCTCACCTTTGCTTTTAAAATCCTCTTTACCTCTCTAGAATCTACTGTTAACACTTAACGTCTGTGCATGGGTCTTTGAACCTAGTTCCCTTTGCCTGGAATTCTTCTTTGCCTAGGAGTCATCCTTTCAGTCACCTTAGAAGTTATTTCCTTTTGGGAACTATCCCTTAACTCTTAAACCTAGATTGGCTGCCTCTCTTACATACTCTGATGACCAAGCCCTTAACCTGCTCTAAGTATAATTTGTCTGTTCTATTCATCTGCCTCCCTCTCGGGACTGTGAGTTCTGCCATGTTCACTTTGAGATTCCTAACACTTAGCAGAATGTCTGGCACTTACATAGGGGCTCCATGCCTGTCAGAAAAATGCATATAGTTCAAAGAAACTGTAGGATTTATTTGTACAAAGTCCTTTATTTTGAGGTCAGATCAGAGATTAGATTCTGGTTCCCTTGGCTGCAAGTCTAGTGCACTTTCATTGCTTATTTTCATATTCATTATTTCATTTGGTTGTTGCAACTACTCTGAGGGTAAGGACCAGTGAGAACATTGAGGCTCACTGAGGTTATAGCTTGTGAACCGAAGCAGGTCTCGATCTTAGGATCCTAGACCAGGGTTTCTGTATATTTGCTTTTACGTACATGTATCTTCTATGCCATTTGTTTGGTTAGACTAATGGGCAGTTTTTTTAAAAAGATGTGTGATCTACCTTTTAGGCCTAGTTTCTAAAAAATACTTAAAATGAGAATAACAGGCCATATCTCATAGAGTATCATAAAGGTTAGATGAGATAATGCATGTCAGTGCTTTGAATAGTATCTGACATAAGTGTGTAAGAAGTGGTAGCTGTTATTATCATTGAATAATTTGTTATTTCTGTCACTTGAATCATATTAAACCTGAATCACTTATATCCCATGAGCCCCTGAAATATCAGTTTCCTATGTTGATACAAAGTGCTGTGTTTAAAATAGGAACTCTTTGTATTCCCGTAGGAGATAAATTAGATCAATGCTAGTTTTATTCTTTATACTGATAGTACATGACCAGAATAGAAGCGTTCTTTTTCAGTAGGTAGAAGCTCCTGCTTAAGGCAATTTGGGGAATTGTGTATACCCAAAATACTTGTCTGTCTTCGATAATTTTACAGGGATAATTTAGTGCCTAAGCCATTTTTGAGATACTGAACATTCTTTACACATAAGAATTTGTCTATAATGCAAATGAAATTATCATAATCAGTAGATGTAATTTATTAAGTGCCTATTTTATGCTGGCTATTTTACTAGAAACTGTTGGTGGATAGAAAAATATGTAATACATGACATCCATCTTTAAAGAGCTTGTGACACAATAAGAAATGAACATAACCTACTTCTAACAAAGTAAAAGTTGGTTATTGTCATAAATGTAGTGCTTTGAAAAAGTTAGGATGAGAACTCAGAAAAAAATTACTATAAAAATTACTATTTGGTGGGGAATGGTGATGCAGGTGGATGCGCAGGTTTGATCCCTGGGTCAGTAAGATCCCCTTGAGTAGGAAATAGTAACCCACTCCAGTATTCTTGCCTGGAAAATTCCATGGACAGAGGAGCCTGACAGGCTGCAGTCCATGGAGTTGCAAAGAATCAGACATGACTGAGCATGCATGCAGGAGAATGGGGAGAATGGTGAAGATCTAAGAAACACATAGAAGAGGTCTTATTTGAGCTGAACCTTGAAGGGAGGTTAGGATTTGAACAGAGGTCAACGGATATTTAAGGAGGATAGAAGAGCATCAGCAGAAGGGTGAATGCAAACATTGTGATAGAATGTATTGGAGAACAATGAGGATTCATTTTTGGCTGGAGAGAAGGGGTTTAAAAGGCAGAAATGGAAGGCAAGTGTGGAAAGGTAGCTTGGGGCCAGATTGTGTACAGACCTTTTTTTTTGTCTGAGTCTTCACCACTGGACTGCCAGAGAATTCCCATGTGTACAATCTTGAATGCTCTGTTATCCTAGGGCATTGAAACTTCACTTGTAGGCAGTGGGGAAATCATAATATATTTGAAAAGGAAAGTCTACAGTATTAACCGGCTGAATGCATTATACCAGGCAGGACTTGTGCTTATTATGTACTTTGGGCTAGAGATAGAGAGATCAGTTAATTAGGCTCAAAAGGAATAGATTCTTACTTAAGATATGGAAGATGAAAGAGTTAAAACTAGAATGACTTAGATGATGGATTCTGTTTATTGAACTAAGAATATTGGGAGGGGAAAGGTATTTGGGGTAAGTAAGAAGGGAGTTGATGGTGGAGATGATTAATTTTACTTTGGGGTTTGAGTTGCTTGTGGAACTCACCTGGGCGACTTTGTTTTTAGCATAAATTTACGAGTTAGTCCTTGGATATCTAGGTGGTAACTGAAGTCATGAGAATGAGTAAGAGAGATTATAGAACCGCATTGTCTAGTAGAGTAGCCACTGGCCGCATGTGGCTATTTAAATTTAAATTGATTAAAATGAAATAAAATTGAAGGTTTTTGTTTCTCAGTCATACTAGCCATATTTTAAGTCTTTGGTAGTCCCATGTGACCCATGGTTACCATATTGGACAGCACAGATATAGAACATATCAAGAGCTGCAGAAAGTTCTGTTGGATAGCACTCTTGTTTATACAGGAGAGGAGGCTAGGATGAAGTAGAAAAAAGATCCAGAGGAAAAGCATTACAAAGAGTACAGTGGCACAGAAGTTGAAATAGAAAGACTGCTAGTTTAAAATGTTGCATAAAGAAATTAGAGGACAAGCCTCGAATTTGAAGATATCAGAAATGTAAAGTTGAACTCTTGGAAAAATGTGCTTTCAAGATGGAGCATTTGAATGTCCAGTATGGTGGTGAGTTAGTGCTTTTCTTGGGCTCTTGGAAGACCTGTGGTAAATATTGAAATTGCAGTGTTAGAGGATATTAAGGATATAGTGGCTGAGCATGAGGTGTATGGGCTTCCCTGGTAGCGTAGCTGGTAAAGAGTCCACCTGCAATGCAGGAGGTGCCGGTTCAATTCCTGGATTGGGAAGATCCCCTGGAGAAAGGGATAGGCTACCTACTCCAGTCTTTGGCTTACCTGGTGACTCAGATGGTGTAGAATCCATCTGCAATGCGGGAGACCTGGGTTTGATCCCTGGGTTAGCAAGATCCCTCGGAGGAGGGCATGGCAACCCACTCTAGTATTCTTGCCTGGAGAATCTCCATGGACAGGGGAGCCTGGCAGGCTGCAGTCCATGGGGTAGCAAAGAGTCAGACATGACTGAGTGACTAAGCGTGTGCATGTGCATGCATGCGTGCGTGCAAACACACACACACACACGAGGTGTGTGGGAGCTGGGTATGTGACATTTTAAAAACTTGATTGCAGAAAATTTCAAACATGAACGAACAGGATAGTATAATGAACCCTTATATACTCAACCAGTATCAACAGTGAGCAGCGTTCTGTCGTCCTTGTTTTGTCTGTATACCTCTACCCAGTGGATTATCATTATTCTTATTTTACAGATTTTTTGAACTGTAATTATATGCATGGAAATGCACAAATGTTAGCTGTCAGTTTTGACAAATGGATAGACCCCGTCTGTACTATACCTTATCACAGTCTTTGTAACATTTCTATCTACCCAGAAAGTTCCTTTGTGGCAAATGATGTTTTAATGTGGCCATTTTTTATCCAAGGATATTTTCATACAGCCAGAAATCCACCATCAAACCTTTTAATTGCCAACACATTCTCACTCCATTCCTGAGCATCACCTCACCCCAACCGTCACCCCACCTTCAATTTCATCCTCTCGGTCTCTCCTCCTGCTGATCAAGGATACCAGAGACTCCACGATATCAATATTGTTGGTTCCATTATTTGGTGATTAATGTTTATATATTTTAATACAGCTCATTTGATATGCCCTTTTAAAAATGGTCTTGATAAATTTGCCTTATCAAAAGGTAAGCCTGAGCCAGTCGCTGCAGTCACTGAAGAAGGGGAGAGCCTCTGCTGCGGAGTGTGGAGGAGAGTCACAGTGGAGATGGTGAGGTGTAGGTGGGTGGCAGAGAACCCCGCGGAAGGAAGGTCGCTGAGGGATGAGAGTGGGGTGCTGATCTAGAGGTGACAGGTGGTGAGCACAGCAGGGGAAGGGAGGAGGGAAGGGTGTAGGAGTAATGTGGTTTTGTTCCATCAGGGAGACGAAGGGAGTGCTTCCTAAGGGAACCGCTGAAGAGGCGGATGAGTTTACGTGCATTAGAAAAGGTGTTTCACTGGGCAGAGTGGAAAGACTAGGAAGGAGAGAAGCCGGGTTAGGGTTGGTCATATCTACTGCCTAGACATGAGAGAGGGTAGGGGTGTTGGGGAGTAGGCGGGAGTTTCTGCCTAAGTAAATGATTCTCTGTTGGGGTCTGAGGAGACTTGGGTTAAAGAAGGATGTGTTAGTGATGAAGCTTGGAGTGAAGGTTGGTATAGGGGAAGCAGGAAAGAGTATATTGAATTTTTGGATTCAGTATATTGGCTGTGTTAAAATAAAGAGCCCTCGAGTTACTGATGCAGTATTGATGTTGTTGTGGCCTCTGTAGCCCCTTCTAGGTGCATGTCCTGGTTGTTAACAGCGATTCCTGGTGCTTTATTTGGGTGGAACATGGATGGACCAAGACACAGTCAGTGAAGCTTGCCTTTGCAGATAAGCCATCTGGAGTCTTACCACAT